ACATTGAAGAATAATTCCTAAAGCGTGTCGAATAAATATTATCAACTAACATGTCCCTGTATAAAAGTTTATGTGTGTATAATTTTTGTTGTAGTTTTTTTTTTGAATCAGGATCCAAATAAGGTTCATATATTGAAACTGGTTGGCTTGAATATTTCACTTAAATCTCTTTTAAGTTACAGCTTTACTTTCAGGAGAGGATTTAAAGCCAGGGAATATCATGACTTTCCATTTTTAAAAGACTTCTCTGGCTCCACATGGAGTCCAGGTAGTAGGAAGGCAAGATGGAAGAAGAGGAAGTGGTCCCAGGAGAGACGATGGTTCTGAGAGTAACGGTGAGATGGAAAGTGTCTGGATGAACATTGGGCTTGTCAATTTTCTGTCTCATTTTCCAGTTCAAGCTTACCAGATGTATTTTTTACATATGCTGGTCTAATTGCTAAGTCATGTCCAACTCTTTATGACCCCATAGACTGTATGTAGCTCACCAGGCTCCTTTGCCCATGGCGTTTTCCAGGCAAGAATACTGGAGTGGGTTGCCATTTCCTTTTCCAGGGGGTCTTCCTCACCCAGGGATTGAACATGGGTCTCCTGCATTGCAGGCAGATTCTTTACCAATTGAGTCACCAGGGAAGTCTGCACCCCCCCCCTTTTTTAATATAGCCAACTAAAATTTCAGATTATGAATGCATGCATGTAAAAATGATGAAAAGTGAAAGTGTTAGTCACGTAGTTGTGTCCAACTCTTTGTGACCCCATGGACTATAGCCTGCCAGGCTCTTCTGTCCATGGAATTTCCCAGGCAAGAACACTGAAGTGGGTTGCCATTTCTTTCTCCAAGGGATCTTCCCAACCCAAGGATCGAACCTGCATCTCCTGTGTCTCCTGCATTGCAGGCTGACGCTATAGCCGCTGAGCCAGGGGGGAAGCCCCATACCGCTTAATGATAAAAAATAATTACTATTTCAAATGATGAGCAATTTGCTGTGTGTCAGCCACTGTGCTAAACTTTTAACATGAGTTATCTCACTTCCACAACTGGTGAGATATGACGCCCATTTACTGTAGGGGACGTTTGCCACTAGGGAAGTTTAAATGACGGGCACAAAGTCGCTGAGCAGAATTAGAGAAGCGTGGCTCCCGCACCGCCTTTACTCTTCCGTCATTCTATCTTCTGGAAGATTAGACCCACTTTAGGCCCAGCAGTCCTAGCTTTTTGAGTGTGTTTGAGACTTCCTAAACCTCCTCGGTGTGTGTGTGTGTGTGTGTGTGTGGTGTGTGTGGTGTGTATGGTGTGTGTGGGGGGGATGTGTTTGTGTGGCGTGTGTGTGGCAGTGTGTGGTTTATGTGG